GCGTTGAAAGTGTTACAGGTATTAACAATAGAAATAGTAATTGAATGTATGAATTCATTGTATTTTGATCAGTTATAAATACGAAAATAGCATTGAATTATCTCCTGTTTCAGTTCTGAATTCAAATACAATAATACAAGCATAACAATGTCAATTCTACATTTTGGGAAGTGGAACAATGAAAATGTTATATCGATTATACAATAGAGAGGATCGTGATAAAAGAGTATGCTTCATACAGAGATTTAGTTGCTGCAATTTCAAAGCAACTTGATATAAAATTGAGTCTGAAGTCTATTAAAATCAATTATAAAGTAGAAGGTAATTGTACGCCTATGAAAATACATAACAATATGGGTTTCAGTGTGTATGTATAGTTGAAAAAGGAGAACAGAAAATTCGGGAGTATCATTGTGTATAACTACAACAGAGAAAGAAATGGAACACACTGCAGCAGAAGGAAGTGTATGCAAGGTGACCTAGAGCCCGTTTGGATTGGCTTAAAAAAAGAAACACTTTTTAAGTGCTGGAGCTTGTTTTATAAATAAACAGTTACATGTTTGGATAAAAGTGTTGAAGCTGAAAAAAAGTTGTTGGAGTGCTTGGTAAACAAATGCAAGTAAGCATTTTTTCTGTTAAAAACGACTTAAATATCCTCAAAACTGTTAACACTATAAAGAAGATGTTACTACATTTTTTATTCTAAATTAACGCACATACAAATAATTTATAATTAAATCACTTTCAATTTCAATTAATTATCTAACTATATATTATTTCTTTAATAATATATAATTAATTTAATTATTTGACCAAAAAAATATTTTTTTTCGTTCATAGCTTCAGATTCTGGGGTAACATGTAAATTCATTGAAATATTTGATTTAGAATATAGTTTCAGCAATTAAACAAAGGACGGATTCAACCACACAAAAAAAATTAATTGTTATGGAACAAAAAAGAAGTTAAAGAATAATATTTACAAAATATCAGAGTATATCAAATATTTATTTAAAAAGCTACTGTTGGCTTCCCTTTTAGCACTTCAAAAAAGTTACTAATTTTGGTGAATCGTAGCAGCAACAATAAACTGGAAAATAGTGATGAGAACTGACACTTTAATTAGTAAGGGAAGGGTAGTTTTGGGGTTTAGAAAACGTAGAAGGGATAGTAAGGTAAATCACTTGATCAAACATAAGGAGCTTATAAGCCAAAAAGTAATAAGTTGGAGTTGCCCAACTTATTGTTTTTGGCTTGTTTTGGGTATTTTAGCTTAAAAGTATGTAGCTTAAAAATACTTTTATAACCCATCCAAACACTCACCTAGTATAAATTGAATACACAGATGGTACACATATAGTAGATAAAGGTGATACACTCTCACTAGCGGCGTTAAAATCCGATGAACCAATTGAGATTTTCGAGTCGGAAAAAGATTTGATTATTTTGAACCGTAATCAAAAAGAGGCAATGGAAGGACATGTATGCAAAGATACGGCAACAATATAGGCTGTAATAGAGTAATATGCAATTGCTACAAGATTTCAATTCCAAATAGAGAGATCAAATGCTATCAAGTTAGTGCATTTATATAATTACGTATCTACTAGAATAAATTTATTGTTTGACAACCTTTTCATATTAAAACAACATAGTGTATTGTGTATTTGACTGTTACGCCCCGACCTCGGGAAACTTGACCAGTGCTCAATCGAAATAATCCGACCGAGCAAGCCTGTTAGATTTTCTTCTACCCAAACTCACCCGTAAATAAATAGGAGATATATTCTATTAATTAGACACTGAGAAGATTTCATAAACAACCCCAATTCCATTACCATTAGTTACTCTATTTTTAAGTCTCAGAATACATACACTTTCATAGTTTGGAGTGGAACATGTAATACACATACGCCATTACTAGCTTGAATTTCCCAACACCAATACACAACATACACTATGTCTACGAAGCCTGTAATAGATACAAGGAGTATAATAATAGTGCCAACAACAAGACTCCGGCAATACCTCAAAATATAATACACACGGAACAAAAGATGCACGACCCCTTAATGAAGTGGGGCTCATCAAGTCAATTGGGAAAAGAGTGTACCGCTATCACCGGTCAATGCTCACCGGTCAATGCCCCCACTATGGAACCGCCCGTATCCAGTAAAGATGCAACGCCCCCGGCAAAAGAGACGTTAGTCCATATCGAATAGTACTAGTATGAAAACCAAAACACCTATTCAAGGACTTGGAAATACAACAAGAATATGATGAATCATGGTAACAATAAAAGGTCTTAGATAGCCGTTAAAGTCAAAGCAAATTTATTAAGAGTTTTCAATAACATTTATAAATTTTAAGTCGGGGATCCTCTATAACCACCTTTACACAAAGCGGCCCTGCCGCCTCCCCCCAATGCATGCGAGTGGAGGTGCAATCACAATGTCATAAACTCTACACAAAGCGACCCTGCCGCCTCACCCCAATGTATGGGGGCAGAGGTGTAGTCACAATACCACAACTCTACACAAAGTGGCCCCGCCGCCTCACCATAATATGTGTAGGTGGAGGTATAATCCAGATCACAATCTCCACACAAAGCGGCCCCGTCGCCTCACCCCAGGGTGTGCAGGTGGAGGTTTAATCCCAATCACAATCTTCACACAAAGTGGTCCCACCGCCTCACCTGAATGTGTGCAGGTAGAGGTGTATTCACAATGCCACACTTCGGATTCCGAAAACGATAATAGTTTGTACAAAAGAGTTCTTTTCCAATCAATTGTTTGGCACATTTGGCCTTAGCAAGTGTAAGTTCATAAGGTTTCAACATATGAAAAATAAGTGTTTGATCAAATTGATTTCATACAAGGTTTTATTCCCAAAAGGGGTATAACATTATTAAGTCACAATAGAAAATCTTTAACACATGAGGGTTCAGACACGTTATGCAATTTGAGAATCAATTTACTAGCTTGAACATCCCACCTCAAGAGTGTTTCAAGTTCGACTACACATGATGGAGTTTTGCAAGGATTCAGGAATTCCGATAGTAGAAGAAGAGTTTAGCCTTTATCCTCGAAAGAGCTTTTATTGGTGTAAGAATAACGTCCCGACACTTCTAGCGATATTAATGTATAGAAGAGGGGAGAATTACAAGCATGATTAGAGGAATTCATATGGCAAGAGCTGCTACACTAATGACCCAACCATCCTTCAACTAATTCAAGAACAAAACCACCCAAGATGGTTTAACAACTTCCCCATAGTCTCTATTAGATCATGCATGTGATAAATCTACCCTCATCACCCATAATCAACCCAAACCCGAAATTGAATAATTGGGTGGAAGGTTTAACAACTTCCCCATAGTCTCTATTAGATCATGCATGTGATAAATCTACCCTCATCACCCATAATCAACCCAAACCCGAAATTGAATAATTGGGGGGAAGGTTTAACAACTTCCCCATAGTCTCTATTAGATCATGCATGTGATAAATCTACCCTCATCACCCATAATCAACCCAAACCCGAAATTGAATAATTGGGGGGAAGAGATTATTACCTTTTTGAAGCCCTAGCAAGTTCCTTTTGATGAAATTCCAAGGTTTGATCAAAGTAGAGTAAAATCCTTAGTCCCCCATTTTCTCTCTCTAGAATATCTCTCTCCTCTCTCTAAAATGTTTGAAGAAGATTGTTTGTCTTCTCGAACGTCTCTCTCTGCTCCCTAACGTCTCTCTGCTCCCTAACGTCTATTTCACCGGCGACAACCACCAGACCAGGTAAGCACCCTCCCCTCACCAGACCAGGNTCTCCCCCCCCAAACGCACTTGCTTTCCAGATCCTCCTTTACAATCCTACAACCCTCCACCACCACCACCGGCGCATGCACTGCAACAGTCTCATCTGTCATCTCCATTTCCCTTAGTTGAATCTCATGCTCATTCTTTTATTTGTTATATACGTTGTTGTTGATTTATTTTTCTGACTTTATTGTGTTTTGTTTAGGGTTATTCTTTTGACTGTTGTATTTGTTATATACATTGTTGTTGATTTATTTTTCTGACTTTATTGTGTTTTGTTTAGGGTTCTTCTTTTGACTGTTTTATTTATTTATTTATTTATTATTTTATTTATTTAAAAAAAATCAATTTAAGGTTTTATTACATCCTTCTTACGCTTTTTTGCTACAGGTGGGGCCTCACGAGTGGTAGTAGTGACAACCCCTCATTTGTTTGTCTTCGTGGTGTTTTGTGCGTATTTCAGGTTAGGGACTGTGGCTATTAGCGGTGTGCGGGACGTGCGTGTGCAAACATAAGGAACAACCCCAACAAGGGTCAACGAGGGGCGACAAAAGTTGGACGCGAACGTGCTAGGTGGACGCAACATCATCGTATATGCCAAGACAATTCCCAGGTTCCACTTGCGGGGGTTGGTACCTCCTACTTTTCTTTTCTCCTTTATTGTGTTAGTTAAATTGTTGCAATCTTAGTTCCTATTAGTTTATATACACTGTTGTGCATTTATAGTCGCAACCTATCTTTGTCTAGCGTGGTCTGTTGCCTTGTGTATGTTAGTGGTTTTCCCGTAGTTTACCGTAGGTGTAGTGGCTGTGGTCTGGGAAGGTCGAGTGAGGTCATGTCATCGGCGGGAGCGGGGGGTGGGGCGGGAGGTAGGGTAGGGGTTANCGGGGTGGGTCAGGAGGCAAGGGAGGTAAAAGAAACAGGGGTGTCTATAGATTAAGAATCGGGTCATGGAATGTAGGTACATTGACAAGTAAGTCTATAGAGTTGACAAAGATTCTCCAAAAGAGGAGGGTCAATATAGCATGTGTCCAAGAGACTAGGTGGGTAGGGTCGAGGGCGAAGGATGCAGACGGGTATAAACTTTGGTACTCAGGAGCCTAGAGAGGTAAGAATGAAGTAGGTATCTTGGTGGATAGGGAACTTAGAGAGTCTGTGGTTGAGGTTATACGAGTGAATTATAGATTGATGGTTATTAAGTTGGTGGTTAGAGAGTACACCCTAAACGTCGTTAGCGCCTATGCACCGCATGCGGGCCTAGATGAGGAGGTTAAACGACGCTTCTGGAAGGGGTTAGATGAGATTGTGCGCCAGGTTCTCCCTTATGAGAAGTTACTCATAGGAGAGGATTTCAATGGTCATATTGGGGCGTCCACAGGTGGCTATGGCGAGGTGCATGGAGGCTTTGGTTTTGGGGAGAGGAACGGAGGTGGTACCTCGCTATTGGACTTTGCTAAAGCTTTTGGGTTGGTGATTGCGAACTCTAGCTTTCCGAAGAGGAAAGAGCATTTGGTTACTTTTCAAAATGCGGTAGCGAAGACTCAGATAGACTATCTCCTCCTAAGGAGGTGTGACAGCGAGTTGCGCAAGGACTGCAAGGTGATTCCGAGTGAGACACTCATGACGCAGCATAGACTCTTGGTGCTTGACGTTGGTATTAGTTTAAAGAGAAGGAAAAGGATAGCTCGGGGAAAACCAAGAATCAGGTGGGGAGCCTTGACTAAGGATAAAGCCCAAGAGTTGGAGTGCCGGTTGTCAGCTATGGGAGCTTGGAGGAGCAGTGGGGACACAAACACTATGTGGTCAGCGACAGCAGACTGTATAAGGGAGTCTGCGAGAGAGGTGTTAGGGGTCTCGACCGGTGTCTCTAGTGGGCACAAAAAGGACTGGTGGTGGAATGAAGTGGTTCAAGGTAAAGTGGAAGCGAAGAAGGCAGCATACCTGAAGTTACTGGGGAGCATAGGTGAGGAGGAAAGGCGAGCGTGCATGGAGAGATATAAGGTAGCTAGGAAGGAAGCTAAACTGTCGGTCACGAAGGCTAAGACTACGGCTTATGGTCGTATGTACGAGGAACTGGGGGGAAAAGGCGGGGAGAAGAAGTTATTCCGACTGGCCAAATTAAGAGAGAGGAAGGCTCGAGATTTGGACCAAGTGAGATGCATTAAGGACGAAGATGGTAGAGTACTGTGGAAGATGCCCAGATTAAGAGGAGATGATAGACTTACTTTCATAAACTTCTGAATGAAAAAGAGGATCATGATATTATTGGAGCATTCCGAGAGTCATCATAACTTCAGGCACTGTAGGCGTATCGAGGTCGAGGAGGTCGTGGGAGTTATGCGTAAGATGAGTAGGGGCAGAGCGACCGGGCCAGACAAGATTCCAGTGGAATTTTGGAAGTGTGTAGGAAGAGCAGGTGTGAAGTGGTTGACTGGGTTATTTAATGTTATTTTTAAGGCGAAGAGGATGCCGGATGAGTGGAGGTGGAGTACGGTGGTTCCATTGTATAATAACAAAGCTGATATCCAGAGTTGTAATAATTATAAGGGTATCAAATTATTGAGTCATACCATGAAAGTATGGGAGAGGGTGGTTGAAGCGAGAGTGAGGATGACAGTGTCTATATCCGACAACCAGTTCGGGTCCATGCCGGGTCGCTCCACCACAGAAGCTATACACCTTGTTAGGAGGTTGGTGGAACTGTACAAAGAGAGAAAGAAGGATATTCACATGGTGTTTATTGACCTAGAGAAAGCGTATGACAAGGTTCCTAGAGAAGTTCTTTGGAGATGCTTGGAGGCAAAAGGTGTGTCGGTTCCTTATATTATGGAAATTAAGGACATGTATGATGGGGCTAAGACTCGGGTTAGGACAGTACGAGGCGACTCTGAGCATTTTCCGGTTGAAATGGGGTTATACCAAGGCTCTGTGCTTAATCATTTCTTATTCGCCCTGGTGATAGATGAGATAACAAACCATATTCAAGGGGAGGTGCTATGGTGCATGCTATTCGCCGATGACATAGTTTTGATTGATGAGTCACGAACCGGTGTTAACGAGAGATTGGAAGTCTGGAGATAGACTCTTAAGTCTAAGGGTTTCAAGCTAAGCATAACAAAGACGAAATACCTCAAGTGTAAGTTCAGCGCTGAGCCGGGGGAAGTAGACGTGGATGTGAGGCTTGAGTCACAAGTTATCCCAAGTAGAGGCAGCTTCAAGTACCTTGGTTCGATTATCCACGGGGGAGGGGAGATCGATGAGGATGTTACACACCGTATTAGAGTAGGATGGATGAAGTGGAGGTTAGCATCTAGAGTCTTGTGTGACAAGAGAGTGCCAACGATACTTAAAGGTAAGTTCTATAAAGCAGTGGTTAGACCGGCCATGATGTATGGGGATGAGTGTTGGCCTGTTAAGAACTCACATATCCAAAAGATGAAAGTAGCAGAAATGAGGATGTTGAGGTGGATATGGGGCACACTATGATGGAGAAGATTAGGAACGATGATATTCGAGAGAAGGTGTAAGTGGCTCCCATTGATGACAAAATGCGGGAAGCGAGACTTAGATGGTTCGGGCATGTACAAAGGAGAAACCTAGATGCTCCAGTAAGGAGGTGTGAGCGGCTGGTTATGGAAGGCACGAGAAGAGGTAGAGGGAAGCATAATAAGTATTGGAGAGAGGTGATCAGGAAGGATATGGCGAGGCTTCAGATTTCCGAGGACATGACACTTGATAGGAAGTTGTGGAGGTCAAGTATTACGGTTGTAGGCTAGGAGGTAGTTGAGTCTTGCGTTACTTTGTACCTTTGTGAGCCTAGTACGGTAGGTTTTTTTCTAAGATAACTAGGGGCAATGTCGTGTGTTACTATTTTCTATTTTCGACACAGGATCCATTTACTAGCCATCGTTTTTACTTTGCACTTTTTTGTATTTTATGTTCCTATGTTTCCTATGATCTCCGTGGTGAATCTAATATTCTCTCCTTTTGTCTTTTTATTATCTTGAGCTGAGGGTCTTTCGGAAACAGCCTCTCTACCCCTTCGGGGTAGGGGTAAGGTCTGCGTACACACTACCCTCCCCAGACCCCACTTGTGGGATTTCACTAGGTTGTTGTTGTTATTGTTGTTGTTCTCTCTAAAATGTTAGGTAATACCCCAAAAATGAACCCTCAGGCTAGAGAAACGAAATGGGTGTCGGGTTATAAAATTAGAAAAACAAAGCCCCGATGCAGATATACGATCGCATATACGACTGCATAACACTTATGTGGTCCGCAAAATGGACCGCATAATGGCCCTCCAGAACTGGGCATTTCTGCTTTACTCTACGACAGGTCTATGATCCGCATTCTAATTCTGCGATTGCATAATGGACCGCAGAACCTTCTTTCGAAATTTCTCATGGTGGTTCTGTGATAGGATCTGCGGCCCACAAAATGGTTCTATGGCTGCATAATGGGCCGCATAATGGTTCTCAAAATTGGCAAATCTTTCTGCTTCATTCCGCGGCTGATCCGTAGCCCGCAAGCTAGTTCTGAAGTTTCATAGTGGACTACAGAACAACCATGTTCCGAAAACTTTTTCCTTCAACTCCTCAACGCATTGGGGCAACTCCAAACAACCTCGCATTCTAGGTAAAATTTCAGGAGGCCTAACATATTTCACCGCTTAAGATCATTCGTCCTTGGATGAGGGTCTAAATCTGATATTAGCATTCAATATGACCCAACTGTTACTTCACACACTGGTAGTTCCAATTTTTTTACTAGCTCCCCGAATTCCCAAAAAATTTGGCATAGTTTCCCTTGTAACTAGGCCTATCCACCTTTCAGAGGATCCCAGAAACAAATTCTAACAACATTTACATAATCCAATGACATAACATAACACAAAAACTACACCAACTGTGGCTTCATAAGAACCATATCACTAGAAAAGAATACCCTTAACATCAACTATACAAGTGATACATAATTCATAGGCAACAATTTCATAGCTATTCAAACAAATAAGGGTACTTCTTCTTCATTTCTTCCTCGACCTCCCAAGTGGCCTCTTCAACCTATTGGTTTCGCCATAGTACTTTCACGAAGGTAATTTGTTTTTTTAGCTTTCAAACTTGCCTATCAAGAATGGCAACTGGAATTTCTCCATAATTCAGTTCTTCATTAACTTCAATAGTCTCAACTGGCACAATAAGCGATGGATCTCTAACCACCTTCTTCAACATAGATACGTGAAACACCAGGTGCACTAAGGACATCTCTGGAGGTAGTTCAAGCTTGTAAGTCACCTGACCAATCCTCTAAATGATTCTATATGGTACAATGTACCTCGGACTCAACTTCCCTTTCTTACCAAACCGCATTATGCCCTTCATGGGGGGAACCTTAAAGAATACCCAATCATCCTCTTTGAACTCCAAATCCATGCGACGAACATCCGAATAGGACTTTTGAAAACTTTGAACAGTTTCCAACTGATCCTTAATGATCTTAACCTTCTCTATAGCCTGATGTACGAGGTCTAGTCCTATCAATTTCGCTTCCCCAATCTCGAACCACTCAATGGGTGATCTATATTTTCTACCATATAAAGTGTATATGGCGAAATCAAAGGGTCCAATTTCTCGTCATTAAGGCACTTCGAAAGATCACCTCAAAGGCTCGAGGCCACGGTTGAGTCTCCTTCCTCGAGGGTCATCGAAGCTCGACCTCGGGGTAGCAATGATCACGGTAAGGGTAGAAATGGGGAGTTCCCAAGGCACATGGCTAGGGCTAACAAAGTCTAGAGGGCTACTCTAAACCTGAATCAGGGCGTCATCCAGCTGTCCCATCTCCATATCTTTGTAATTAATGCATTTTGTACTATGTTGGAATTTCCCTCATATATAAAGGGGATCCTTGTCATTTTGTAAACCCTGTTACTTCTGTTGCTCCACACGAAATATACAAGAACATTCTCTTTGATCTCTAACATATTCTCTTGATATTATTGCTTCCATTTATTATCTTCATTATTTTTCATCATTTGTTACTTGTCATTGGCTATAAAGAGCCTTTGTTGATTCTATTATAACTATTAGTCGCCCTTCAACTGCCTTCGATAGCTCCCAACTGAGTTTCGAAATCGACCTCGAGGCCCCCGATTTGACAAGCTAGAGACCCCTATTATTAACCTACCAGTTTGGTTATCACCTTATTCCTAACTCTTATCTCGTTTCTAAGTCTCACACATAGCATCAATTGCTTAACAACTAGCATAAAAATAGATCACTTATTTTTAGAGTCTCATAATCAAATTTATTGTTATTACCATTTTCACGGTAAATAGTTTGGCGCCCACAGTGGGGCTAAAAATAATAGTGATTATTTTCTTGCTGGTTTCATGACACAACGCAGGTTATCTTTTACACCTTTTCTTGTCCAAGATCTTAAATTTTAGGTCGAAATGCCTAGCTCAGTAAATGGAGATGAAAACAACAATCTTGAGAACCGCGTAGAGAATGGTGTGGCTGCTCCAGGTGTTGGTGTGACATACGAAACCTTGAGAACGCACCAGGACCAATTCCAGCGGACACAATCTCACGCGACGCCCAACAAGTCAATATAAGCTCACACACCAACATGAGCGTGCACCAAAGGGATCAACAAGAAGCTCAGAAAACCCCAACTAGGGAAGAACGAGAGGTTAGCCTTCATGTTATTTTTAAAATGTTACAAGAACAACAGCTGGCTATCGCTCAGCTACAAAGTCACTAGAAAAGTCCTAGCATGGTAGCACCGGGGACAGCCCCCCTGCCGAGCAGATACCAGAGAGATTGAACGATAATGGGTCGATAGCCGACCCCATCATCGTAAAAATGCTCAAGGACCTCACTAGAAGGATCAAATTGGGAGAGAAAATGATAGAAGCCAACGATAAGAAGGCCGAGACTTATAACTCCAAGGTCGACCAAATTCCAGGAGCGCCCCCAATCTTGAAAGGTGTGGACTCAAAGAAGTTTGTGAAAAAGTCGTTCCCACAAGAAGCGGCCCTAAAATCCATTCCAAAGAATTTCAGAATGCCAGATCTTCCGAAATATAACAGTACCTCGGACCCTAATGAGCATGTTACCGCTTACACTTGTGCTGTAAAGGGCAACGACTTGAAGGACAACGAGATCGAGTCCGTTTTGCTGAAAATGTTCGGAGAAACCCTTTCTAAAGGGGCAAGGATGTGGTATCATAACTTGGCCCCAAATTCTATAGACTCATTTTCAATGCTGGCAGATTCCTTCATAAAGGCCCATGCCGGGGCCATCAAGGTGTCCACAAGGAAATCCGACGTCTTCAAAATTAAGCAAAGGGAGAACGAGATACTGCAAGAATTTGTATCTCGCTTTCAAATGGAATGAATGGAATTACCACCGGTCTCTAATGACTGGGCGGTACAGGACTTCACTCAAGGTCTGAATGAACGAGCTCGGTGGCTTCAAAGCAGCTGAAAAAAATCTGGTTGAATATCCCGCCATGACCTGGTCGGACGTCCACAACCGATACTAGTCAAAAATCAGGGTCAAAGACGACCAGCTGGGAGCCCCCTCGGGCTTAGTATACCCAAGCAGGCTCCTGGCGAAGGAGCTAAATCCAAACAAAGAAAGGTATCAGCCATACACCGAAGATAGAAGGAACATCCCGAGTCGTAACCCACCTCGCAATGATCGAAGGATAGACTAAGGACAGAATCCTCGTGGACTCACCAACAGAGCCGAGTTCGATAGGAACGTGGGGCCAACGGAGGCACCTCGCTTATCAGAATACAACTTCAACGTCGATATGTCAAACATCATGTTCGCCATCAGTAAAATCAGAGATGCCAGATGGCCCAGTCTTGTACAATCGGATCCTTCACAAAGGAACCATAACATAGTGTGCGAATTTCACAACACACACGGACATAGGACCGAAGATTGCCGGCAACTCCAGGAGGAAGTGGCCCGTTTACTCGACATTGGTCACCTCTGGAATTCCTCAACGACCGAGCCAAAAATCAGCTTTGAGAAAGAGAGACAACCAAAAAGAACAAAGCGGACGAGCCGCAACATGTCATCCACATGATCTTTTGAGATAGCTGCCACTAGCCGAAACACCAATGGCTCCCCTAGCAGAGGGACTGAGAAATAAACCAACGGTGAGATAACAACCACCAGACACGCTCTAGGCCATATACGAATAGAGGACCGTACCGCGTCCTCCGAGCGAATACTAAGGTTTAAAAACGCCATCACCACTGAGGAATAACCATCTCCCTTTTCATTTTTGTTTCACACTAACCCTTATGCAGGCGCCCGACCGAAGCAGTCAAAGCGCTAACCCAGCCCGAAGACCTTAAGGTTTTAAAGCATGTATTGCACTCTTTTCTTTCGAACGAGTTTTTATCCCAAAAAGGGTTTTACCGGCAAGGTTTTTAATGAGGCAACATCCACATGCTACCAAAGGAAGACTCGAACACATCCGGCGCATTCTCCGTGTTGAACCTAAACCTATCCATAAAATCGGACGCCATGCCTACCCAACTTGACCACTTCTTCGGATCTTGGCTAATGTACCAAGATAGAGCATCTCCTTTCAGATTCCCCATGAAAAGCTTCATGTGGATTCTCTCGTCTTTTCCTACTCCAACCAGCTTGTCACAATATGTTCTCAAATGTACTCTTGGATCCCCTGTACCATCAAACATCTCGAACTTAAGAGGTTTGTACCCCTCGGGCAATTCTACATCGGGCTATATGCAAAGATCCTCATAGTTCAGCCCCTCAATTCCCTTGCTTCCTTTAATGCCTTGAATTTGGATAGTCAATTTCTTAAGTTCCTTAGCCAGGTTCCTGATGAGCAAGTTTTTATCGTCAGACTCGAGTGTGCTTGAGATGGGTTTGGTGGAGTGTGGTATGGTCCCCACGTAGATGGGAGTGTTATGGTGGGTGTGAAAGTGGTCATTTGTTTAGTTTTGGAGTTCTAGGATGAGTAGCGGAGTGTTATTTAGGGTATGGCAAGTATTGCATTGGGTCTTTGGTGGAACAGTGTGGGGAGCGGGATTATTTCGTTGCTTTGGGATGTTTTGAGGTGGTGTAGGGTTTTGAGTATTGGGAAAGGTGATATCCGGGG